CATCCCGATGGCAAACACCGCGGGGGGGGCTTGTTATCAACGTCGTTGCCAAGCGACGAAAACCCAACCCCGATGGCAAACACCGGGGGGGGCGGCTTGTTTTACAACGTCGTTGCCAAGCGACGAAAACCCAACCCCGATGGCAAACACCGGGGAGGGGGGCGTACTTTTGTTCTGCATGCCTTAGCTGTTCGACCATTGACCACGCGTCCTCGAGAGGACGAAACATAGGGGGGGGAGCGGTTGTCAACCAACCACGCTGTGTTTGTACGATTTTTTTTTTGCTGTGTGCCTTTCTCCCGGTCGCCGGGAAATATTGAAAGGTGGTACTTCAGGGAGGAGAGGCTCACTTCTCTGATCGTGGCACCGGTGTAGTGAGCTAATAATTTAATACAATCAAACCTGACATGTGCCAAGTAGCAGCAGTCGCAGCAGCTATGGCGGAGCGGGAACTGTCGCCCATTTATTCGCCCACGGTTTTCTCTCTTTCTCCCCGGTTCGAAAACTCAAGGGTATCGCGTGCCTCGAGTCTAGCCGACAGTTCATCACCACCCCGACGGCAGCAACGTTCTCCAGCCCGTTCGTCAACGAGAGCAACGTGTGCATCGTGTCCATCCTAAGAGCAGGCGACGCGCTAGCGGAGGCTGCCCGGGCTTGCATTCCAACAGCCCCAGTGGGAAAGGTGCGGTGTGATTTTTTGTCCTGGGAAGGTGTGGTGTGATTTTTTGTCTGTTGTTGCTTCGGGCAGGATGGTTCCCTGCGAGTACAGCAGAATTGTGGGGGGTTTTTTCACGGAGAGTTGGAGCAAATCGACATGGGAAAAAGTTTCAGTCGCCTCCTCGAATGTGCATGTGGCGGCGTGCCGCTGTCCAATGAAAAGACGCCAATCCTAGCTGTTTGCAACGTGATGCATTTCGACATGTTTCGTCTGTAGCAGTCTCCCGTTGGAAGCGGAGGCTCGGGAAAGCTTTCACGCACGATGACGGCCGTGCCCTACATCCCAACACATGTTTTCTTTCTTGCGTTGTCGTGATTTTATGTATGGCGGCGCAATTAGCGACCGATGCGACATTATTGTGGGTTGATGTGATATCGGCCTGGCCACACTCCATCTGTTTCACGCACGCTCTTGGGTGCAGGAAACGAAGTCCTGAGTTTGGATGCCTTGCGCTCTGCCCAAGAGGTTGAGAGGTTCGTGGGGTGGGGGGGGGGGGG